TATCTATCTATCTATCTATCTATCTATCTATCTATCTATCTATCTATCTATCTATCTATCTTCCTATCTATCTATCTATCTATCTATCTGTCTGTCTGTCTGTTGTCTGTCTGTCTGTCTGTCTGTCTGTGCTGTCTGTCTGTCTGTCTGTCTGTCTGTCTGTCTGTCTGTCTGTCTGTCTTGTCTGTCTGTCTGTCTGTCTGTCTGTCTGTCTGTCTGTCTGTCTGTCTGTCTGTCTGTCTGTCTGTCTGTCTGTCTGTCTGTCTGTCTGTTGTCTGTCTGTCTGTCTGTCTGTCTGTCTGTCTGTCTGTCTGTCTGTCTGTCTGTCTATCTGTCTGTCTGTCTGTCTATCTATCTATCTATCTATCTATCTATCTATCTATCTATCTATCTATCTATCTATCTATCTATCTATCTATCTATCTATCTATCTATCTATCTATCTATCTATCTATCTATCTATCTATTCTCTCTATCTCTATCTCTGAATCTATCTATCTATCTATCTATCTATCTATCTATCTATCTCTATCTATCTATCTATCTATCTATCTATCTATCTATCTATCTATCTATCTATCTATCTATCTATCTATCTATCTACAATCTATCTATCTATCTATCTATCTATCTATCTATCTATCTATCTCTATCCTATCTATCTATCTCTCTAGTATCTATCTATGATATCTAGTCTATCTATCTATCTATCTATCGGTCTATCTATCTATCTGGTGGTCTGGTCTGTCTGTCTGCTGTCTGTCTGTCTGGCTGTCTGTTCTGTCTGTACTGTCTGTCTGTCTGTCTGTCTGTCTGTCTGTCTGTCTGTCTGTCTGTCTGTCTGTCCTGTACCTGGTCTGTCTGTCTGTCTGTCTGTTCTGTCTGTCTGTCTGTCACTGTTGAGTATTTGTTCGCTAGCAATAGGCAACCACTTTTTTTAAAATGCGGATGGACTAATGTCATCCCCACAAACCCATCCCTGGTTACGCCCTATAAGCCATAACCCCTCCCTCCCTCTTTAAGACACTCAGTGTAACGCTGTTTGTGTCTGTTGGGCGTCTACTACTCCGCCCATTTGCCCAGGTTATACTGACCCCGTTTTTCGGATCCTGTACCGCCGTTGGTGATATTATTGCTAAGTAACCTGTCCTAGGTCATCCCTTGAACGGTTTTCGCCAGGGACACAGATACTATAATTTATTTTGTACTTAGAGCCTCGTGTTAGTCACTTCATTAATTAAAGCATATTTGTGTATTTCTGTACTGTGTTGTTCTTTACAGCACTGATGAAGGCTAATCGCAGCAACGTAAAGATTTGTGTTACTGTGTGATCGAGGTTTTGTAAAGCTAACATAAACTATTTGTTCTTTCTACCAACTTTTTCTCCTCCCAATAATATTCTAACCCCTTTAAAAACTGTGTTGATTTCTTTAGTAATGTGATGAAGGCTAATGACGCCGCTAACGTCCGATTGCGTTACTGTGTCGATCTTTGTGAACTCTAACCTAACCTATTGTTCTATGTCAAACCAACATTTTTATAGCATTGCACGCCAGAGCTCCGAAAAGGACTCCTACAGTGTTGATGCTATCAAAGAAGACAGATCATAATTCTGTCCCGACCGTCGACGAAGTCGTCTACCGGTGAGCCAATGTACCACACGGTCGCCGATGGGTGACCCTTAAACCGGTGGCTTAACTTTGACGTTGTGCCTGTGAGGGGTGGGGGAGGTTCTGGAAAAGGCAGGGGTCAGCTTATATTGTTCACAAAGATGGAAACGGGTGGCCACGGCAGGTGGCTCGACTTTGGCTTGTGTGTGGGGAAACTTTTGTGGCGACAGATCTGGCTTGTAGTGATCACTGAGAGAGGTTGATGCGGTGATTTCAGACATGTTTGTCGTACAGCCTGTTGGTTTACACCAAACGCTGAAGATGCGTCACGTGTCCGGTTTCCGCTGTTTGCGGGTCGTTGGTTGGCTGGCTAAAGCTTCATTGAGAGTGGAAACAGGTAAACGGTCCTGTTCGTGTTTCCCGGCCCACTTACACTGTCTGACCTGTTTCCGCTGTTTGCGGGTCGTTGGTTGGCTGGCTAAAGCTTCATTGAGAGTGGAAACAGGTAAACGGTCCTGTTCGTGTTTCCCGGCCCACTTACACTGTCTGACCTGTTTAATATTTTCTGAGGCTCTTCTGCGTCGGAGGGATGTCACGTTGTCCTGCCTCCAATTACATCAGCGCCGATGTTGTGTGTTCTATACTAAACGACGACACAGCTTTCAAAGACCCCAGAACTGGTATTACCCTAAGCACAGCCTGAGCCTAGGTCACTCCAGAGACTCATTTTTTTTTAAAAAAGCAATACAACCGGACAACTCTCTGACCTAGATCAGATTGAGAAAGTGTGTAGATGGGCCAAGAAACTGAAACAGGTCAGAGAGAAATCAGAGCAAGTGGCTGAAATGGTGTTCGCCGTTGACGTTTCTCTCATTAGGTGCAGTCGCGTATATATTGTAGTAGTTTGCATATAACTAATATCTTGTTCGTTCCAGAGATCTCTCCCTGCCTTGATGCCATGAGGTATTCCAGGAGTAGAGAAAAGAAGAAGAAGGCAAGAAGATAACAGTCTGCACACAAATTAGCCAGATCTGTAAAATGAATGCACAGGCAAACTCAAGTTCTGGAACAAGACTAAAGTCCACAAGTGGACAAACAACCAGAACTCTCTGCCAGAGTTTACAGCTGGTGAGCATTAAGAAGAAGAAGATTTACTTTGCCTATCTTCTTTGCATTCACTGGCTGTAAACTCCAGTAGAAAGTTCTGGTTGTTCATCCACTTCTGGATTCTAGTCCAGATTCAGAACCTGAGTATTGCATGCGCATTCATTTTAGTTCTGACTCAGTTGTATGCAGACTGTTGATTCCTTGCCTTTCAGGCAGATACGCTCCGACTTTGAAGGAAGCTCCTAATTTATCCACTCTTACGACATGCTTTAGGGTAGGAAGTGGGTCTATTCTTGTTTCCCCAACAATGGAGTCTCGGAACCCACACAGCAAACTCTTCCTATGAAAATGCAGATTAGCTGAAGTGAATATGGACAATGATATTAACCTTTTTTGCCATTCAAACCCTTTGGAAATTTAAAATTAAAAGAACACTCGACTTCCTAAACAAACAAAATAATCCTTAAATAAACAACCATTTTACACAGGTCACTAATACATTTTAAAAAGATTTATTCATAAACATTTTATTTATGTTTTTCAAAACAAATGACGGGGTGTAATTTAAAAAAAATGAAGTGAAGAATGTATTACATTCACCTGGCATAAAAAGTGTACATGACCCATACAGTAACGCCATCAGAACAGTAACACTAAGGTTACAAGCCAATTATGACATTATAAAGTTAAAAGGTCTCTTTTCCAGGCCTTTTTAGGCGTATTGGGAATATAGGACTAGACCTAAATTATTAAAGACCAATTGGCACTTGTGGTCAGCATCACACTGGCTGCCGTTACTTCCTAGGACTGCACCGGATTTATGACATTATAATCACTTTCAAATAGCCTCTTCCCCTTTCAGAATAACCAGGCCTCCCCCACCCCTAAAGGAAAACCACAATATTTATTAAATATAATATCTAGACCCCCTGGGCAGTCGCCATGGTTTAGCAGCTAAACACTCGCTTGCGAATCAGAAGGTTGTGAGTTCAGGTCCTGACAGGAAATGCCGTTTTTCAAAAATGACCTTGGCTCCTAGGTAAACCCAGTCTTGAGTGAGTACCATGTACAATCCTGGAAAGTAAAGGCAGCCGGTGTGATCATCCACCAAGTGCCGATAGGTCTATAAAACACAGGTCTAGCCCTATATGCCCAAAGGCTTTGAAAAGAGTCTTTTACTTTATCTAGACCTCATAAATGCTGTGCACGGCACAGGCAACCAACAATGCCATTAACTACCCTTCTCTGGGACAGGTCACTCCAGCAGTGCTGGTTTTAAGTGGCATTTACGGGACTGTGCTACGGATGAATGTGCTGGGTAAGCAGCTTCTCAGAGCAGAAGGGTTATAAACAGCATGAGAATAATGTTGACATGTTGTCGTGTAAGCAGCTTCTCAGAGCAGAAGGGTTATAAACAGCATGAGAATAATGTTGACATGTTGTCGTGTAAGCAGCTTCTCAGAGCAGAAGGGTTATAAACAGCATGAGAATAATGTTGACATTGTGGTTCATTTCGTGGACTGAAGAGTTTCAGATTGCTTCTGGTTCCAGCATCACCATCGAACCAATGAGTGCTTTGCCAGCTCATCTGTAGGAAGAAAACTGCTGATAGAGACATCTGGCGATCTCTCTGGCAAACCTCTACACCCCAAGGTAGAAGAGTAAAAGAGGAGAAACTAAGAAAGTAAGTAAGCCAGCTCATCAACAACAAATGCTGTGTCGCTAAGCACAGACTGTTATGTTTCTCCATCTACCAAGATCACCAGAAACACAGATTAGGTCAATGTTTTTGTCTCACCCCATCAATGTGGCCACACTATTGGGTTTGTTATCTCTTTGCTCTCTTCCCATTAATCTTGCCAGTCTTTACCATATACTCGAGTCCAATCATTCTCACATGTCCAAAAAACACTGACTGTGTATGTCTAACTGTTATAAGTTTGTGACTTTTATCTGTCTTGAGGACAGCTTAGTTTGTTTTTCTATCACTCCATGATATTTTGCATTCTTCTAAAAAATAGATGTGTTTTCCAATGGTCTTATGCGACCTCTGTGAAAGGTCATTTGACCCCCAAAAGGGTACGATCCAAAGGCTGAGAACTACTGTCACAGAGCAAATTCTGTCCCTTTGCTGCATTGTGGCTTCTGCTTCAATCAACCTTTTCATTGCTCCTACTCGGAGGCACAACGTAAACCCAATCCTTTAATTAAACATTTGTCAGCCGCAGAAGCAGAAGATCAGTCCTAACAGGAAGTAGTATTGTCACATGTCAATTCAGCAGATCAAGCAACATGGCTGCTCTGGTTACTGACTTGATCCGTTAAGTTGTCATTATCTTTTCCATCATTACTCTCACTATCAACTATCAAATCTGCATCTGAAAACAGTTCCGAGATCTGAACAGGTTCTAGATTCCCCGAATCATGATTGGTGGAGAAAAGAAATGACAACTTTGATAGTGGAGTTTTCTTGGACGTCTCCTGCTTGACATTCAGTGCTTCCAGCTTGGAGGCGGCATCTTTCATTGCTGCAATGAAATTACTGAGCTGGCCACCAGCAACATTGCGGCAGATGTTCAAGCCGAGACTGAGAGGGTTCTCGATGTAGACTGCGGTGGCATCTGCTGGTTTGCTGAAAGTACTCCCTTCAATAACGGAGATGGCATTGTTCTTGAAATCAAACTCTGAGTAAAATGTGAAGAAACCATGGAGAAGGTTGTCTGTGGAAAAGAACAAAACAATTGTAAAGTTTGACTAAACACAACAGATTGCAAACCGGACGTACAAGACTCTGCAGCCTTATGTAAAGGAGATTCTTCTTCTGCTTCTTCGTGTCCACCAGCTGCTGTAAACACTGCTAGAAAAAACTCGAGTTTTATGCCCACTTCTGGACTTGTGTTGTTCCAGAACCTGAGTTCAGCATGCACATCCATTTTACAGATTTCTTATTTGTATGCAGACTGTTGGTTCTTCACCTCTCATCCAGATGCATACTCTGACTTCGAAGAACACACACCTAATTGGTCAACTTTTATGACATGCTTGTTAAGTAGGCAGTTAGTCCATCCCCTCCTCCTCCCTTCCCCGTTGGGCCCCAGAACCCACAAAGGGAACAGGGAATTCAAAATTGGGAACTCAGAACTTTGCCATGTGGACAGGCACCCCGAAATACTGAACATGTGCTGCAGACATCTTCTGCTGCTGCTGCTGCTTGTTGTCCCCCCCCCCCCCCAGGACATCACACAAGCGATAAACACCCAGTGACACAAAGTGCCACAATGGGGATGAGGATCACCCGCGGAGAGGTCCCAGAAACCCCTTTCAGCTGTTATGGCCTAGCTATATTCAGGGCCCCTGGAAAAAGCCGAGTGGGGCTTTAAATAACGAAAAACTGCACCCAGCATGGGGACGACAGATACGTTATTTTTTTTTAAAAACAGACATGCTCTCTCCAGGAGTCATTTACATCCTGTGCCCATCCTTTCAGTGGTCATTCTCTGCCTTCTGCTATCATTTTCCCCCGATCCTCTGTGGGGCCTGACATAACCAAAATATTTCAGCTTCTGAGACAAGACGCTGTTTATTAGCGTGTTGTTCAGATCTCTTAAGATGTCTGTATTTCTTTACTTCTTTGTCCATGGTAAAGCCCCTATCCTCGTCCTTAAAGATTGCGAGATAGTCCACGTCACACATCTGTATGTGGCTACAGGAAAAGAGATAAATTCTATCCATATTCCACAGTTGTGGATTTCAAGCTGAACGACAGACACGGCCAATGAAGACTGGTTATGTTTCTTATTTCACTTGTTACCATAGCAAGGGGCACACACCAGATGGAGGTGACAAGTTCAATTCCCAGCACTGTAACTATAGCTGAAGATTTTTATGCTGTCTAGTGTGTCCGAACCAATACACAAATAAGGCAAGATTCCAGGCAAGAGTATGTGTCTAATTTTATACTAAAACGCCGCTGGAACTATGTCGGCCACGCCCTTAGAATGGATAAATCAAGACTTCCTTACAAGCCCTCATTTGGACACCACAGGGGAAAAGATCTTGTGGAAGACCAAGGAAAACCCTACGCAGAACTATCATCAGGGAAGGCTCACTCATGGGCCACTCAAACATCCAAGACCTACAACAGATTGCAACGAACCGCCATGCATGGAGAGTCATGACCTCTGCCCTATGTGCCGCACTTGACACAAGAGGAAAGACTAACTAACTAAGTGTGTCCTTCTATCTTTCTATGAGTGCAAATCAATACATTGTTCGTTTATTATATATACAGAGGAAGATGATTGCTCTAAAAATTGTAACTTTAATTTCCTTGCTAATAAAGAGGCTGTAGTCTTCTAATATGAAAATCACTGGCATGGAGAGTAAGAAAAATAAAACTAAACAAAACACACACATTACTGTGGTTAAAGATTTTAAAAAAAAAGGAATAAGTACACCTGAGTTATCTTCTTCTTCTTCACGTTCACCAGCTGTACACTCTGGTGTAAAGTTTTGGTTGTTCGTCCACTTCTGGACTGCAGTCCTGCTCCAGAACCTGAGTGTTGCGTGTGCATCAGTTTTACAGATCTGATTCAATTGAATGTAGACTGCTGGTTCCTTGCCTCTCAGGCAGATGCACTCCGACTTCAAAGGAAGCTCCCCAGTTAGTCGACTCTTACGACATGCTTTTGGGGAGGCAGTGGGTCTATTCTTGTTTTCCCCACAATAGGGCCCCGGAACCCACACGGGGGACCTGAGTTATGTATCTGCCTATCTGGTGATTCACTCAGTACAATTCATTGCTTGATATATTTCACTGTAATGAATTTAAATAATGCATATACAAACAAGCCGGCAGTGGTGTAATTAGATTTAGAGGTTTACACGACGGATTATTATAACACATAAGGCTGAGTCCCAAAAAAAAAATCTCAGCGCAGTGCATAAAGTCCGTAGCACCGGCGAGGATCCTGAAATACTTCGGGTAGATTTCCCCAGGCAGCGCCTTCAGGCTACTCTTTTCGATTTCCAACTGCCCAGGGATTTTTTTACATACACAACACCACACACGGGCGTCCAATGTTACTACCCAGAGAGCAGGAAAAATTACTAGGAGTCCACGTGAAAAAATCTCAGCCTTCACCGGGGCTTGAACCCGGGACCTCCAACACTTGAGGTGGACCCATGCCTCAAGAACACCCAGCCTCCGGTGGTTTGATTGACTGCTACTACACAAGAAATATTGAACACACATAGGACAGAAAATGCATATGAGATTTTTTACAGCAGAACATCTCAGAGGAAAGTGACAGGAAGACCAAGAAAGATATGGATAAATGGTGCAGCCAAAACCTGAAAACAGATGAACAAATCCATTATCTAAGCCACCCAAACAAACACAGAAAAACCACGACACTGGGCTACAATCTGGTGAGATAACAACAGAAGAAGATGCATACACAAACAATACATTGAACATTTTACTGCCAGGTAAATTTTACTGTATCTCGTCGGGTGCATTTCAGTTTTTGTCAACTTATAGTGAAGCACAAAGACTGAAAACAATTGAACTGTAATACACATTTTTCAGGCGTATTGTTAGTGCTACAGAGCTAGACACTTTATGGTGAGTACTGAACTTTTTAATTTAAAAAAAAACAAAAAAACATATGAGATGAGTAGTGACACAATTTTTCAGGGAAAAAAAAGTGATGCCCGCAATAGTTTGTTTTCCCCCTTCTCTATTTCCTTCCTGATTTTCCCCCATTCATACAACACAGTCCATGAAATCCTATTCCCAGGAATCTACTTGCAAAATCCGTATCATTCATGTCTCACTCACACATATCTTTACATCCTAGCAGAGACCAACCCCAAAAACATCACATCATGCTACATTTACCTATAGTCTCTGTATTCTGGGATCGAGGTATGAGTGAGGGTTTGGACGGCAGCCCATACAAGGTATCGTCAATGTAGAACATCTCCGTGGTACCTGTTGACAGCAGAAACAAACACGATTTCAATGAGAATATCCCTTCCATGTGTGGGTTCTGAGACCCCATTGTGGGGAGAACAAGTACAGATCCACCCCCCCCCCCTCCCGTGTGAGTTCCGGGGCCCTATTATAAGGAAAACAAAAATAGACCTACTGCCTACCAAAAAGCATGTCGTAAGAGTCAAGTAATTGGGAGCTTCCTTCAAAGTCCGAGTGCATCTGCCTGAGAGGCAAGGAACCAACAGTCTGCGCACAAATGAGTTAGATCTGTCAAATGGATGCCCATGCAACACTCAGGTTGTGGAACAGGACTGCAGTCCAGAAGTGGAGAAACAACCAGAACTTTCCACCAGAGTTTGCAGCTGGTGAACGCAAAGAAGAAGAAGTACAGACCCACTGTCCCCCCAACAAACATGTCGTAAGAGTTGATTAACTGGAAGCTTCCTTTCAAAGTCAGAGTGCATCTGCCTGAGAAGCAAAAAAACCAACAATCTGCAAAAAAATAAGTCAGACCTGTATAATGGATGCGCACACAACATTTAGGTTCTAAAAGAAGACTAGAGTTTAGAAGTGGACAAACAACCAGAACTTTCCACAGAGAAGAAGAAGAAGTAGAAGTATCCCCATCTTGGTTGCAGAGCCCCACTTGGGGAGAAAAAATAACAGACCAGTTGCCAGCCTAAAAAAAAACAAAAGCATGTCATACAAAGCTGCTAAATTGGGCTGTGTCCTTAAAAGTCAGAGTGCATCTGCCTGAGAGGTGAGGGACCAACAGTCTGCATACAAGTTAGATGGATGTGCATGCAGAACTCATGTTGAGGAACTATAAGTAGCAAACTGTTAATATCGAAAACTGATGGTGAACTAACTGATGGATGATGAACTAATCAGAACGACTGATGGTGAACTACTCAGAACTACTTGGGGGGGGGGGGGGGGGGGGGGGATTGGGAGATATATACCCATTGTCCCGCACCTCACCCCCCCCCTCCCAACAAGCATGCCATAAAAGTCAGCTAATTAATGGTGTTTCTTTTATGTCGGTATGCATTTGCCTAAGAGGGCGACAAACCAACAGTCTGCATACAAACAAGCCCAATCTGTAAAACAGATGTGCAGGCCAAACTAAAGTTCTGGATCAAGACCAAAGTTCAGAAGTGGACCAACAACCAAAACTTTCTGCCGGAGTTTACAGGCAGTGAATGCTAGGATGAAAATGTGAAGAAAACATACATACTTGCATAGGACTGCAATTTCTTGAGAGTTGGAACCACTGGCGGTGACCTCGTCTGCAGGTAATAGAGAAGCATGAACAAGATTCCGATAGTGGTTGGTTTCTGTTGTTCCCCGCCAGCGGTCAAGTGATGACAGATGGCCCACTGTTTGATGACTGCCATCAGAGGCCTGACCCTGGGGTCACACACAGAGTACAGGTAGAGAAGCTCTGTCATCTTGATACTGTCCCTGGAGGAATTTAGACATGAGTAGGCTCTTGTCTTCAACAGCATCTCACTCTCTCTCTCTCTCACACACACACAGAGTTCATGTACAGGGGACTCTGTCATCTTGATACTGTCCCTGGAGGAATTTAGACATGAGTAGGCTCTTTTCTTCAACAGCATCTCTCTCTCTCTCACACACACACACAAATACAAACACACACAGAGAAAGAGAGAGAGAGAGAGAGTACATATACAGGGGACTCTGTCATCTTGAGACTAACACCGGAGGAATATAGACATGAGTAAGCTGTATTCAATACCATTTCTCTCTCTCTCTCTCACACACACATATAAACACACAAAGAGTACATGTACAGTTACTCTGTCAACTTGAAACTAACACTGGAAGAATATAGAAGGGGTAAGTTGTCTTCAATACCATCTCTATCTCTCTATCTCTCACACACACACACACAGAGAGAGAGAGAGAGAGAGAGAGAGAGAGAGAGAGAGAGATAGTATATGTACAGTGACTCTATCATCTTGAAGCTAATACTGGAGGAATACAGACAGGAGTAAGTTATCTTCAGTACCATCCCTGTCTCACTCCCACAGAAACAGAGATAAAGAGAGAGAGAGACAGACAGACAGAGAGGGAGAAACAGCAGACAGACAGAGAGAAGCAGAGAGCGACAGAGAGAGTGAGAGGATGAACAAACAAACTTTATTTTCAAAGGGTCACAGGTTGGGCACGCACGCCTGTCTTGAATTCAGCCCTTCCAAACACTCATCTTTCACACAGCAATTGTATTGTATCAATAAAGAATGTTATGTTCACATAATAATATGCATAATTTGAATAATAATAAGAAAAAAAACCCATAGAAGAAAGAGAGAGAAAGACAGAGAGTGAGAACAGGTACAGAAACTCTATCATCTTAAGACCATCCCTGGAGAAACAGACATGAGAAAATTATCTTTAATACCATCCATCTTTCTCTCTCTCTCTCTCACGGATGTCAACTTACGTTGCTTGCAGACTTATATCACAGTCTAAGTTCACAGCCATATGTTTAAATCGTATGATAGGCACACGAGCGTTTAGAATCCTCGACACATGGTGAACCCGCGGCACCAGTTGTAGCAGGGATGATACCATGTTCAGAGTTGTCTGCGCCAACATCCGATTACTACCAAATGTTTCCGTAAGCATTCGAAAGTTTGAGAATCTGCCGTTTTGCATTGCCTGAAAGATAAAATGGTGAATATGGTAAATGTAATTTGAATAATTTGAATTTCGTAATGATTATATACGAGAGGAATTTTAAGAGCACTGGAAAAGTTGTGGAAGTCAAAGGAAATCAAAAATAATACAAAAGTTAGAATCTTTAGCGCTAATATCACATCAGTACTACTGTATGGAGAGGGAAATGGATTGAGAACAATTAAAACAATTACTAATAAACTACAAAGATTCTTGAACTAGTCCCTGCGCAAAATAGAGGGAACTAAATGGCATGATAGAATCACTAATGTGGAGCTTTGTGAGAGAACTAAACAAGTTCCAGTGAACCAAGAGGTGAAGAAAAGACGCTGGCATCTTTCTTTTTATGTAAGCATACTTCAACATGTTGAAGAAGATGAAGAAGAAGAAGAAGAAGAAGAAAAACAGGAAGAAGAAAAAGAGGGAGAAGAAGAAGAGGGAGAAGAACAAGAAGAAAAGGGATAAGAAGAACAAGAAGAAGGAGAAGAAGAATGAGAAAAAGAAGAAGAAGAATGGTATTATGATTCGCTGTTCTTCTTTTTCTCATTGACGGGCTGTAAACTCCTGCAGAAGGTTCAGGCCATGCATACCCTTCTTGGTGTAGTCTTGTTCCAGGAATTGAGCTCTGCAAGTACACCTGTTTTAAAGATCTGCTTTAGTTGTGTGCAGGCTTTTGGCTGCTCAGGCAGGTGCCTAAACTTTGAAGAATACGATCGCACTGTGAGGGAAAAAGAATAGACCCACTGTGGGGGGGGGGGGGGGGAAGAACAGACCCACTGTGGGAGAAAAAGAATAGATCCACTGTGGGGGAAAAAGAATAGATCCACTGTGGGGGAAAAAAAATAGATCCACTGTGGGGGAAAAAGAATAGATCCCCTGCCCCTATAACCAGCATGTCGTTAAAGTCCACTCATTTTTAAGAGTGTTTCCTTCAAAGTCAACGTGCATCTGCCTGAGAGGAGAGGAAACAACAGTCTGCATACAAATAAGCCAGATCTGTAAAACAGATGTGCACACAAAAGTCAGGTCCGGGAACAAAACTAGAGTCCCGAAGGTGGTGAACAATTAGAAATTTCCATCAGAGCTTACAACTGGTGAACGTGTAGAAGAAGAACAAATAAATTCCTTCATCTGAAGATGTGATTTACAGCAAGGCTGCGATATTTGTGCCTTTCGGACAATAAACCCTACTTCTGCAGGCATTTGTTGACCAGGTTAGCATTCCCGCTTGAAAAAGAACTATAACATCTAATCATTACTGCTGTATAACAAATGACAGTGAGAAATTACAATAATTACTAATGCACTACAAACATTCTCTAACTGGTGACTGCGCCCCGCAAGTGGAATTAAATGGTTTGATAGAATCCTTAATGTGCACTTTATGGAGAAATCTAAATGAATTCTGATGAATCAAGAGGCGAGGAAAAGATGATGACACTGGATAAGGACATACAGTGAGGCAACCTTTCAACATATATCATCTTCATCATAGCCCCCTAACATCACGGGTCGTTGGGTCTCCGCTGCGGTTGATAGTCTGATCAGTTCCCCTGACCTCTGTTGGTCAGTTGCAATGAAATTCCATTCAGTCTAACTCTGTGTCCTGGTTTTTTTTGGTCTGTTTTTTCTTCTCTCCCCCACACAGCCATCTAGTGTTGTTTTGGAGAAGCCTGTAAATCCTGTTACACGTCTGCACCATTAAAATTATCTTTTCATTGTTGGTAATAGAGGTGCATAGTGGCCAATATGCTGAGTGATAACGCAACCAGAATGTAACTGCAGTAAACTCATACGCTGACAGAGACCTAATAATACATAGACTAGAGAGAGACAGGAGAGAGAGAGAGAGAGAGGAAAAGAGAAGAGAGAGAGACACACACAGAAGAGAGAGAGAGAGAAGCAGAAGAGACAGACAGAGAAAAAAGAGAGAGAGAGAGAGTAAGACAGAAAGGCAGACAGAAGAATAATATAAGATACAGGAGATGGAAAAGGATAGGCCAATATGGCAAGTGTAGGCTGACGTCCCATATTCCAAAGAGGGACAAAGAGTAGAAAGGAAGCATGAATGTTTCTGTAAGCTTCCTTTATTTCATCATCATCATCCTGTAATACCATTCTACACGTACAGGACTCACAGTCTAGAACTCTATTCCCTGCTACCCTGTGCAATCCTTTCAATATCATGGATGGAATCCACTCCAGCACCTCTGGCCTATCCCAGCAAAGTTCATTTAAGGGTTTCTCATTTCAGTGCCTGTTTGATGTTTTCTTTCTCCTTTCAGAGCCTGTTTGGATGAGTCTCTGTCTCCTTTCAGTGTCTGTTTGGATGAGTCTCTGTCTCCTTTCAGTGTCTGTTTGGATGAGTCTCTGTCTCCTTTCAGTGTCTGTTTGGATGATTCTCTTTCTCCTTTCAGTTGCTGTTTGGATGATTCTCCGTCTCCTTTCAGTGTCTGTTTGGATGATTCTCTGTCTCCTTTCAGTTGCTGTTTGGATGATTCTCCGTCTCCTTTCAGTGTCTGTTTGGATGATTCTCTTTCTTCTTTTAGTGCCTATTTGATGATTCTCTTCCTGCTTCTTAAAATGTGCCAAATATGGCCCCAATGTCTGTGTTTTATAACTCTTGATACCAATTGTGGTGTAGACATTTCTCTTACTTTTCCCCTCTCCTAATTGAAAAAAAAAAAAAACTTTATCCCATTTAATATTTATCAATGAACAACCCAAGAACAGACAAGGTTACAAATACCAGCATTAGAGAGAAAGCTGCAATAAGACCATGTCTCAATTATACTTGAAAAGAGTGAAAATGATTTGGCGATCTAGTGAGAATGCAGCCAGACCTAACTGTATACAAGAATTTTTAAAGCAGAAGATCTGGGAGGAAGGCAAGAGCAAGACTAAAAAAAGAGAGATAAATGGTATAGCCGAAATCTGCCAAAAGATGAACAAATCCATTACCCAAGCCACCCGAAAAATAAAATTCAGAAAACCACGACACTGGGCTACAACCTGGAATCAGTGAGATGACAAAAGAAGAAGAAGAATACTCATCTATTTTCTCAGGCATCTATTTCCCACGCCTTTAGTATACCTCGATCTTTCACTGGCATAAGTTAAAATATTTGTACCCTTCATTTGCTTGCCTCCATTTCCAATTTCTGTATGTTTTGAAGTCTACGACTTCTGGTTTCTAGAAAAAGAACTTTCCAGCTGAACTTAAATCAATTTATATCCTTTAAACTAACAGTCAAAACTGGACAGAGAAATCAGCTCGAGATGTCCCAAAGCTAATCAAGTAATGGGGCAACTATCTCCCCTGTTGACACACAAGCAGATACCCCAGAGTACTAAAGTGAATCTTAACAAAACTATTTTTTGGCCAACACTATGCTATCAGTGCCAAACATAGACACTTATATCCTCCAATGAACATAAAATTGTAACAACAGAGATGAAATGCCTAAGAAGAGCTGCAGGAATTTTAAGGAAAGACAAAATAAGAAATCAGAAAAATGTTAGGAATAAAGCCAGTCTTACAGGTTATCAAAGAACAACAAATGAAGTGGTCTGGACACCTAACAAGAATGCCCTGGTACTATCTGCCATAGCGAGCCACACTAAAATGTTACAACGGATATAGAGAGAGGGAAAGACCTCGGAAAAGATGTAGTGATGGCATTAAGAATAGCCTTACAGAAACGAACATCAGTCCTAATAGTGCTCTTGACGCTTATCAACAAATGTTACATCTCCCCCCGACACTTTGATGAGGTACAAGGTGGAAGAGAAGAAGAAGAAGAAACTTACAGTCATGTCCGGGGAACAGAGTTCTTTTGAGAAACACAGCATCATATCAAGGTCACTGTTCCACCAGCCGAAGCCGTTCAGACAGGAACCGAACGGAAGAATGTAAGCTTCTGGGAGGATTGACTGCAAGAGCTCTTCCAGTTGCAGGCACACAAAGAATCTCATCCTCAAGTCACTATCATCAAGTGATCTTCGAGTGCACAAAGATTCTACTTCTTGTTGTAACTGAAAGATACACAGTATTTTTTTTTAAAGATAAATTTTAAATATCAAAAAATAATTATACTAGCAAAAAATGGTGACCAGAAAATGTTTAGGGAAATGAAATTAAAAGAAAAAGAAACTTTAACTATCTCATGATGTATTTATATTCTGGGGTGGAAGAGGCCAAATTAAACTTTTTCTTCTTCTTAGCGTTTAACTATAAACTCCAGCAAAAAGTTATGGTTATTCATCCACTTTAAGAATTGTGTCTAGTTCCCCAACTTGAAAGTGCATCCCTTTAACAGATCTGGCTTATTTGTATGCAGACTGTTGGTTCCTTGCCTCTCAGGCAGATGAAATCTACACCCCTAGTAAGTCAGTTTTTACGACATGCCTGTCAGGGGGTAGTGGGTCTATTCTATCCTTCAGAGAGCAGCTTTTTTCTTTCATGTTCTTCCTCAGCATACTGAGCTGTGATTTACAGCTAGGCTGTGATAACTGAACCTTTTATCTCAAAACAGCTTCTTCTTCATCGACGGTCCGAGTGATGTAAATGCACTTTGTCTGTCTACAGAGCAGCTAAAATATTCATGCCTTTCGCCTAACACATTCAAATTTACTGAGTCTTTGTTTTCCAGGTTGGCCTTCCCGATGGGACATTTGTAGCTGCACTTGTGTGGTGACTTCCTCATTACCGGATTCACTGCCCATCCAGGGCAGCCCGATTGGTCGACCTTCAAGGAAAGACAGGGATTGAGCATGGGCACTTCCTGCCATCCAGGGAGGCTTCCATAAATGAAGAGCCAACATATGACACTCTGATACTGGACTCAACCAAGGAATCATCACGTTCCTGCACATGTGCTTAACCTCACATCTGCTTCCACTCATTACACACTGTGCCCCAGGAAGCAGTCTGCTGACCTGATACTCCCAATTCCCGGCACAAACAGGCACCTCACTTCCATCAGCTTGCTGGACTTGTCTATTTGTGAATGGCATCTTTTCCTTTGAGCCTAAAAAGCTTTCTAAAGTCCCAAAGACATCACTGTAAGCCTCCATGACAGAGGTCACAGCGTTACAGCATAATTCACCTCATACATATTTTTTTGTTTTCAGGTCCTGGAGAATCTATTCCATTTAATGCTTCACCCTGGGTGCTTATTAATTCTCCCTTCATCTTTATATATATTGCTTAAAAACTTTTTTTTTATGTAGATAAATAAAATTTAACAAATGTGTTAGTGACCTCTGTTGCTTGCTTACCAAGGAAGCAGAACTGGTACTGTAGTTGATACCAGCCCACTGTGGTATTCAAGGAAATGAGAGAGCAAAGCTGGGCGCAATCTTCCACAACCTCATCCACCACACAGCTACAAGGAAACCAAAACAGCCCTAATGCAGTGTTTCAAGGAGGAGTGGAGAAGGCAGAATAGAGATTACAGACCAGAGAGTGACAGCATAAACAAACTCAACAGAAAAGAACAAACATCAATTATTTAGGCTTCGGACAGGACACTGTGGTCTTTGAGAACACCTGCACAGGATAGGCATAAAAGAATCTGCTGCCTGTGATTGTGGAGCAGAAAGACAGACCCCTGAGCACATACTGTAGTACTGCCCTAACTTCTCCTAGCAAAGATTGTGGATCTGGCCCACATAGCAAAAGAAGCTGTGGGGAACTGTTGGCGACCATAAACATAGAATCCTATTTGTGACCCAGACAAGACTGAATGTTTAGCATTCATGACTGATGTTGAATGCAGAAGAAGTGACCTCTGTTTTTTTTTAAAGGATTTGTTCAGGAATTGCAACATGGTGATGACCCAGGTTTCTAGTGTTCTTACAGTGCTGGTGTTTAAGATTCTTCTTTTTCTTGTCTTATTTAGTCAAAACTTTTGGCAAGTTTATTTTTTTTCCTCCCGCAATTGAGCTTCCTGGTCATCACAGTTTGTGGGCAATCTAGAAGTTCTAGAACAGTCTCTTACCAGGTCCATCAAGGGATATTGTTGTGAGGATTTCCCATTCCAATTTACGTCATCAATCTGGGGCAAAGGTCGATGTTTTTTTGCAGAACGTGACGATGTGTCAAACAAGACCCTTGAACGCATGGGAAACTGATTGGGCTCACTGAAGAATCCAGCAGTTTGCCGCAGCTTGGTGATGCTTGCCTCATTTGCAAATTCCGCCAGAATATAGGCCTTAATTTGGAAGAAATAAATTAATTGTTCAAATCCAGTAGTGGAAAAAACCAAACTAACAAATTAATATAATAGCAAAATAAACATGCATAAAGAAAAAACTGTCAGTTATTTGCCACTTCTGAGTGTCTTTGAATCTGAGGATTTAGGGTCATATGGCTAATGCTGTCATCACAGATTGTGCAGGTGAGGATTTAGTGTAAAACAAAATATGTTAGTAACAAATACAAATTAGTAACAAAATATATTCATAACAATTAAATAACAGAACATATCTCAGAGCCACCCACACTGGGCTACAGGTTACTTCATAACCTTTCTGTGGTGCCCAAATATCTTCTTCTTCTTCTCTTCTCCCGGAATGCATCAGGGCAGCAAGAAATCTCTGGTACGTGCTTTTTTGTTCACTTCGTATAAAGTAATTTTCAGTGTCTCTGTTATTTCTGCGGGCCATCTTCGGAGTGGTCGACCTCTGGTTCTGTTACCGCTGAATTTGTATAACATAGCTCTCTGTGGTGCCCTGTCTGATGCCAATCTTGTTACATGGCCAAACCATTTGATCTGTTGTCTATCTATAAAGTTCAGTACTGGTTCTGTGCCGATTCTCCTCGTTAGTCTGCTATCCGACTAAGATCTTCTGGTCTCAGGGTGTCAAACCTTCAGGTCTCGTTGGTCTGCCATCCAGACTGATATCTTCTGGTCTCAGTGTGTCAAACCTTCAGGTCTCATTGGTCTGCCAAACTAGACTGAGATCTTCTGGTTTCAGGGTGTCAAACCTTCAGGTCTCATTGGTCTGCCATCCAGACTAAGATCTTCTGGTCTCAGGGTGTCAAACCTTCAGGTCTCGTTGGTCTGCCAACCAGACTGAGATCTTCTGGTCTCAGGGTGTCAAACCTTCAGGTCTCGTTGATCTGCCATCCAGACTAAGATCTTCTGGTCTCAGGGTGTCAAACCTTCAGGTCTCATTGATCTGCCATCTAGCCTGAGATCTTCTGGTCTCAGGCTATCAAAGCTTTCATGCATCAGCCCAGACAGGATAAACAGTCACACACAATTAATCAGGACTTCTTTTTATGTCTATGGACTACACACACTATTCTGAATTCATGCCGGTATGAAAGAGAAAGCACTGATGCATTTACATGAGATTCTTACTTTAGGCCAGCAGATCAGCAACAAGCCACTATACTGTCATGGTTCCTGAACAAATAAGTAAGCAAATATAATAATTTGATTTGGATATTTTTTATTTTGAATTGTTAACATAGATCAGTAACCAAAATTTAGTACTCTCTTTTAATTATGCATTGAGGTTCTAGTCACGTTAAGAGACCCAGTGAGAGTGACCTCCCTTCCCAGTGATGCCTCATTCTGGTGTATGGTCTCTACTATGTCGCAGGGGTGCATCCTAGGTCACACGACTATATGCAGCGTATAATAGAGGCTGCATACAGTCGTGAGACACAGGCTGAGGGCCGTTGGGGGAAGGGGGGGGGGGTTAGGACCAGCTGTACATTTTGGGACCGTTAAAAGCGGTCACAGCCACTGACAACAAGGAATAAATTATAAGCCACCACGCCCGAAACCACTCTGACACAGTACAGGCGCTACACCAGATCGAGGCATTAATTGGAAGGGAGGTCACTCTCATTGCTGAGTCTCTTATCACGACATGTACCTGCAGTTATTACCTTATCCTGTGAGGTAAAATGAGCATGTTTCAGATTTCCAAAGGTAAGCAGGGACTCAACAGTAGCTTCTGGATTCTGAGTCCGGATAACAACACTTCGCTTTGCCTGATTGTGCCTGTTACGCAGGATATCCTTGAATAAAGGAGCTGCAGATTGTAAACGTTAAAGTTAGTTTATAATCACCATTAATTACTGGTATCATGAGGGTTAAAAGACTGTTATGGTTGGGGCATCAAGAGATAATGGCAGATAACAGAGAGATAAAAACTCTTTTTAAAAGAGTTGAAGGGAGAAGACCATTCGACAGACCAAGAAGACAGTGGAGAAATAATATACAGGCAGACTTACAAACACCTGGAGTCACCAATTGGAAAGAGAAGGCCAGTCACGGAGATGAAGAGGCAGGTGATATCTGCAGCAATGAACCTCAAGGACTTAGATGCAGAAAAATTAGTAGTAGCAGAGGAAAAGAAGAAGAGCTTAGGTTAACTTTTCATATTATTCATATTGCAGGTGGGTTCCTGTGCCCCATTGTGGGGAAAACAAGAATAGACCCACAGCCTCCCCACAAACATGTCGTAAGAGTCGACTAATTGGAAGCTTTCATCGAAGTCTGAGTGCATCTGCCTGAGAGGCAAGGAACCAACAGTCTACATATAAATGAGTCAGAACTGTAGAACAGATGTCCATGCAACACTCAGGTTCTGGAACTGGACTAGAGCCCAGAAGTGGGCGAACAACCAGAACTCTCTGCTGGAGTTTACAGCTGGTGAACAACCAGAACTCTCTGCTGGAGTTTACAGCCGGTGAACAACCAGAAGATATTGCAGGTGCAGATAAAGGTAGTCTATTAACAGTTCTTAACACATTCACCGGCTGTAAAGTTTTGGTTGTTCAAGCAAAGCTGCAGGAGATGCAGAAGCTGCTGCATGTGAGTCCTAGCCATCTAGTTTAGCCCCAATCCATGCCACTCTCGGCGGTGGCAGTAGTCGCCGGAAAACTACAAATCAGGTAGCCGGAAGTGCGCAATTGACAAGAGACTGAGGCCCTGTTAGGTTGTTTTTTGCGGCCGCCATAATATGTGCCTGTTATTCGGAGGATAGCCAAATTTTAATTTAAAGGCAAGAAGAAGAAGAAGAAAGGAGGGAAGGAGGATGATAAGAGGCTCTGGTAGCCACATCTTAATGATGAAAAATCATGAATAAAAAGTAAAGGATTCTTTTTCACTTAGGTGACCTAGGCACATATTATTGGGCATTCAGGGCTAGACAAACTGGTATTAGATGGGTGATGTGATCAACATCGTGCAAGCCGCTTCTACTTCCCAGGGCTTTACCTGGTACCCATAAGGTAAGTCTGTAGTATACTAACTACTACTATACTATAAAACTATAACTTAGTAAACCTAATGTAATAACTAATGAACCAATAATGATGATAAAAATAAAATAGCAATAAGATGTAGCTTAATTCTTAACCCTACCAGACCGCTCGCCCGGTTTACCAGGAATTTCTCAACCTGTCTCTATACCGCTGGCCCTAATTTTCGGCTTTTTGCGTAGTACGGGAAAAAGATGCGTCACGGACTAAAAATAACCACCCAATCGTTATCAATTCTCTTTGTTAGACATTGCAAATGTTTGCCCGCATGTGTTTGGATTATATTTGTGTTGTTTTACGTGGAAAAATTCTGAAAATTCACAATGAAACGAGCGGCTGATGAACCAAGTTTTAGGCTTTTCACAGTCCAACAGGTGATCGATACTTTGGTTTATTCAGACTCTGCGGGGGGATAATTTCATAAAGAATACGTTCTTGAAGTGACACTGTCAGTGAGAGCGCGAATGATGAGGAAAATCTTAAAAATTATAAATCTTGAAATAGATCGATAGTAGGAGAAGAAAGGGGGGGGGGGGGGTCCATCAAACAGCAATATTTGGTGTTGACTTTGACTTTGTGAAACAAAGTTGATCCTGATGAGTGAATTCGCACACAAAGGTGGAATATTGGTGCTAGATAAAAGGTAAGCCTATTTTCTACAATGTCTCCAAGTTTCATCATATCCTAGCCACTTGTTTGCATGTAACTAATATTTTTGTATATCATGTTGGTTTTTTTTTGCAGTAATGCCCAAGAGCTCAGAGTTATAGGAGGGACAGTTACAGTTAGGTTCAGGGCCGCAGGTCTGGTAGGGTTAAACTGTACGTTACAGTGTAATAAAAAAGTAAACTACTCAATTTTTGTGACGTTACGGCGAGGATCGTGATTACCTTCATTCACAGTCTTCGTGTTGTCCGAAACGCCCAAATTATTTATGAAATCTTCAGCAGAAAGGTCACGGCTGGCAAACTGTGTTTCTCCACGTTTGTCTCTCGATTTCTCGGCTTCTTTGGACTTTTGGGCACTTAAGAGATATGCTAAACTGTCAGCCTCTTTGACTTTAGAAGCTTTCTTCTTCTGTTGTCGTGCACTCAACAAAGTAAACTGTCTTGCAGCAGTACGAATGACTGAAGTTTTAGAGTGTAGAAAGATCAATTTCAGCTTCATGTTGCTGTAGAGCGCGGCCATCTTGTGCAACTAAAATCTCTCCAGGAAAAGTAAGGTGAACAAAAGAAGCTTCTTAATCTCCCCTTTGCTTGCCTTTAAAATTTAAAAATTGCATCGTCTGCTGCGTTCTCGTGATAATGATGATGTTATTTAGTTATAAACACCGTTCTAATATGGGACGCAATTTTTCGTTATTTTAAAGCCTCACTCCAGCTGTTGTCCGGGCCCCTAATATAACATACTGATGACTGGTAGATCCCCGCTGTACTTGCTCCCTGTGAGTTTATTCTTATTGTACGTGGCTAGCCCACAAGACTACCAGGAAAGACTGGTGACTATCGGGAAAGACCTTTTGACACCTTTGGAAAGACTGGCCCCCCGGTATCGCCGGGGGGATAAACTGACATCTGGAGACAGATGTGGACCGGGTTGATCACCCCTAACACAGTATAATACCTCCGATTTCGTACGACCACAATGAAATATGCCCCCAGGGTCCTCCGAAAGGGGGGGGGGGAGAATGAAGGGCCCAATCTGATTGATACCCTCGGTGACGACTCTGCTAGCCCCCGGACTGAGATACTCGCCCAACGTCCGGGCTGGCTCTGTACATGTGGGAAAAGGTTCACGGGGTTGCATGGTCTGATAACGCATGCCGGAAGAATGAAATGCGAGGGTGCTCCACGCAGTAAACGCCGTCGCAAAACTACCACTCCTGTGGTAGTTTCTGAGTCGTCAGGGTACGACGGGCAGGGTGAACCCCACTCGCCCAGAGAGGCCCATGACGTCGACTGCGGGGGAGCACCTTTGATGATTTCTGAAGAAGTGCGTTCCAGAATCAGGTTTCCACCTGCGAGCGAGAAGGTGGTGTGGTGTAAGTTGGAGGTTACATTATGCGAGGTACTTAAAACAAAATCTAAACAAGAAGCCGCTAGGCGACAAGCTTACTAAATTTGGTGCTGTAAAATATGAACACTGCTCCCGCGAGTTCGGGACAGTAGTAAAGGCACAGCCGGGTGCCAAGCAGAATACTAGCAGGAGGCAGAGGGACATTCTGAAGTGTCGGGCAGACAAGAATGCCCTCTGAAAACGGTTCAAAGCCGCTACAGGCAGCGAACGGGAGGGGCTGTACGAAGTGTGGGTGCATTTAAAGAACAAACACAGTGCCCTCTGTCGTGCCGAGCGTTTCTGTAACAACAGACGAAGAACCAAAAGGGAGCGAGAGAAATTCTTTAGGGACCCGTATCAGTTTGCCCGAGGTCTATTCGAGCAACCGAAGTCTGGGACTCTGGTTGTCAGTCAGGAAGAACTTGAGCTACATCTACGCAAGATGTACTCTGATAAAAAGAGGAGAGAGCCTCTCGATGACAATCCAGAGATCCTTAGCGGACTCAAACAGCCTTCGGTGCCGAAGGTACCATTTAAAACGGTACCTCCCCTTTGGTCTGAGGTTGAGGACGTTGTGAAAAAGGCCAGCGGCAAGTCTGCCCCAGGTCCGAACGGTGTTCCGTACGTTCTTTACAAGCGTTGCCCGAAAATCCTTAAAATGCTTCACGTCTTGTCGAGACAAGCGTGGATCCGCAATCACATATGTCCAGAGTGGTCAAAGGCAAATGGGGTCTACATTCCCAAAGAGCAGGACTCGAAGAGTCTTTCCCAATTCAGGCCCATCTCGCTGTTGAATGTCGAGGGTAAGATATTCTTCTCAGTCATGGCTCGCCGGCTCACACAGTATCTGATGACTAACAAGTACATAGATACGAGTGTTCAGAAGGGTGGTATTCCAGGCGTTCCTGGGTGCCTTGAACACGCGACCATGATCTGGGAGGCTATCCAGAGAGCCAAGCATGAGAGAACTGATTTGCACGTTATATGGTTGGACTTAGCCAACGCCTACGGGGCAGTCCCCCATAGGCTACTGTGGCGAGCCCTTCACATGTTTCACGTACCGACACAGATCAGTCAAATGATCGAGCAATATTTCTCCAAGTTCGCTTTGCGCTTCTCTACCTCGACGTTTACCACGAGGTGGACTGAGTTGCAGATTGGGATAGCTATGGGCTGTACGATCTCACCCATACTGTTTGTCATGGCAATGCAGATCATGTTGGACGGGGCGGCCGGCTACGGACTGGGCCTTCAAATAGGGGATCACTGGTTGCCGCCACTACGCGCATTTATGGATGACACGACTATTATAACAGGCAGCGAGGAGTCTGCCCGCACGATCCTGAAAAGATTGAACGCGGTGGTCCAATGGAGCGGTATGCAGTTCAAACCGCAGAAGTCGAGGAGTCTGTCAATCCATAAGGGCAGGGTGTCGGCGACCAGTTTTACGGTGGCAAGGGACAAGATCCCTACGGTTCTGGAGGAACCGGTGAAGAGTCTCGGTCGCGTTTACGATTCGAAGTTATCTGACAGAGCGGAGGTCCGGCGAATACATGAGTCACTGGCTACAGGCCTGCTCGCGATCGAGCGATGCAGGCTGATCGGAAAATTCAAGGTATGGTGTCTCCAATTCATGTTGATTCCGAAGCTCCTATGGCCACTGCTAGTCTACGAGGTGACGATGACTGCAGTGGAAACCATGGAAAAGAAA